GGAGTGCAGAGGTGACACTTGTGGGCTGCTCTGCGATCATGACCTAAAGTAAAGCTGATGTCAGTTTTAACAATTTTTCTGGTGGTGACTGCATTTCATGAGTAAATTTTTATTTTTTCTAGTCAATACACTTCATTTCTGTTCTCTCACTATTTTGCCAAGAGTACTGTGGCTGATATTGTAATCTGATTTAATAAAGAAGATATTGGTGCCTCTTCACTCTGTGTGCCACTTTTTTTTTTGGGAGACAGTTTTTACCAGGTTAGGTGGACTCCTTCAGCTCATCACCGGAATCTTTACTGGAATGCAGGAGTTCCTTTCCTTCCCTGCCTTCCCTCCCACTCCCCACCACTGCCCATGTTTTGAATTTTAGTCTTTTTTTTTTTCTGTTAAAAGAAAGTAAATAAAACATGCTCCAAACAATGTGATGGAATGTACGGAAACAAAGAGAAGCCTCGAAATAAATGCAATTTTTTTCCTTATTGAACAAATGACATTTTAGCAACAAAATAAAAGCAGTATGTGGGGTAGAGTCAAACTTCGATTTGGTTCTTGTATTTATTGGCTGTGACTGTGGCAGGACTTGCTCTTTCCCAGTCTTGGCTTCTGCATTTAGAAAATAGAATAATAATTCCACTTTAAAGGGTTGATCATATTTATTCTTAATTAATAGCCACTAATCTATACTGCTGCATTATTGATTTGAATGCATTTGCTCCTTGCATTTAGTTATCAGACATCCCTTCCTGAGTGGTTATAGGACACTTGTTACGATCAGCTATGAAAGGAAGTTGCTAATGAATCACTGTGTCACTACCCCCACTGTAGTCACCTTCATCTTGAGTGACATCACCTGGAGACAGCGAGGCAAGAAGCCTTGGGATCCGAGTCCTGTGAGCTCTGTCTGCCAGGCTGTGGAGGCTTCACGGTCCATAAGTGCTTTCAGTTTAGGATTATTTTTGTAGCACATGGTGCTACAATGAAATTACTAACATTCCTATTTGTAAACTCATCTCTTTCTAAGAGATGCCAGCATCAGCACCACACCTTGTTTAAGTAATCTAGCTTTGCATTTTACTATGTGAAGAGTGATTCTCCTTTAATTCTTTTTATGATTGATAGTCTCATTTATTTTGTCAGTTTTAGTGAATTCAGATTCATGCTGAATTTCATTTACAAAGTTAATTTTAAGTTTCCAATTAAAAAAGTTCTTCTATAAGAACTTTGCATGTTATCATCCATCCAGGTCTTTTATATCTCAACTGTGTAGTGACTGTCTTGAGTTTATAAGGGCCTGTTCTCATGACTGAGTGAAGTATGTATAGATGTATATCTACAGTGGCAACAGGGCTTTTTCCATCTGGTTTCTAGTTAGTTGCTGTGTTAGTGTTCATCATATCCTCCATTGCTCTGATGACTTCAGATCATTTTATTTATTTATTTTTAATTTGACTTTTTTTATGTATTGACATTTTGTTTTAGTTTTTAATGTATTTTAACATACTTCATTTTTATGCTATGTCTGCTGTATTATCTCAGGTACAGTCCTTGAAATTTCCACCACCAGTTCATCAGTTTTAGATGTATTTTGCTTCTCTCCACTGGGCGGTCCCCTCCTTTCCTTGCATTTCCGGTCTGTGTGGCCTTGATATGCTTTCTTTGGAAAATCCATCTCTGAATATGTGTAGCTCTTGGAAGCCCCAGGTTAGAGAATGTCAGGATCATGATTCTGTTTGACCTTGAAATTGAGAAACATGTAAGTCTGGGCCCGTTAAACATCTTCTGTTCCTTTCTTTCTTGCGACCAGTTGGGAGGCTCTTTCTGGGCCTTTGAGTGCCATGTTGTGGGCATAGCACCCTCTGTTAGACCTCAGATAAGGAGCCTTGTGACCTTCCTGAACTTGGGCCAGAATGTCACTGCTGAACTAACTTTGTGGTGAGGCTTTTCAGTGTTGTGGTGAGGGTATGATGCTCACCCCTCGGTGGGAATGTCTTCCGCCCATTTCCTCATGTTCCATCATCTCTACCAGGATAGTGACTATGGCATGTGGACATAGTGGATTCTGTCTGGAGGTATGGCTAAACAGAGTGATGTGAAGTGTGACTTTCGCTGTAATTTTCAGTCCTGCGTGAAGCACTCCACAGGTTCTGGTAATCCATTCTGGAATTTTCTAATTGCTTTTTAAATTTAACATTACTTACGTTTAATTTCATGCACATTTCTCATTTTGTCTTCATATATGCCTTTATTCTCTCTGAAACCACAGTGGTTTCTGGTATCAGTACAATTTTGAATTTTATTTTATTATTTTGTTTAAAATATTCAGTACCCCATTGAGAAGGCCCAACCTTCTTTCCAGAACTGTCTGGTTAGACAGACTGAATATCATTGTAATGAAAGTTGGGACTTGTTGAGTGTCTAAATAGTCACTATTATTACTCTAAATATTTAGTGTGAGAAATAAAGATAGGATAGATAACTTTGTTAGCTGAGGAATTTTTGGAAAATATTAGAGATGTTAATCCGAGGCCCTTTGTTTTGGAAATATTTTGAAAATAAGTGAAAATGCTATTTATTTTTTGCCCAAGTTCATATATTTCTAAAGGTCACAAGTTCATCATTTCAGACTACAAGGCTGCATGCAGAGTGCCACTATGACTGAGGGATGGCAGTGCGGGGAGGGCTTCTCTTACTCTGGGTGCCGGTGCGGGAGGCCATGTAATTGAGAGACTGGCACATGGAACCAGTTGGTGTGTGCTTCAGGATGTTGGTAGCACTGACTGGGTTCTAGATGGATCATTGTAAACATCTAGATGTTTATTGTCAGCACCCATCCCCAAGTAAACTGATTGCTGACTGAGGTTATTGAGGAGGTTTTGCATTTCAGTAACTCCACTTTATCAAATAGAAATTTAGCATATATATTTTTAAAAGTACACAAAATAGTTTATAGTGATTAAATTATCATTTTTTTTTTAATTCTAGGCCAGTTTATTGTGCCCATTATAAAAAGCAAACCTCCTGTGAGTGTGTTATAAATGTTAAGTCACGCATGAAAGGTGCATTTGGAAGCAGTCCTGGCACATTTGAATTAAAACCTAGCAGGTTAGGTTCTCTGTAAGAGAGGTGAAACCTCACAGGTTTTATGCTATTTTTCGATGATCCCCAATTCTTTTGCCTGTCTCTGGCTCATTGTCATCTCAAAGACCCTCATACATGTTTGGCTATTCACTTTTTTTTTAAGTTGCAGTCAACTTAGTTCCTAGAATTCAGAGTTATTCTACTCCACATAATCAGTATGATACTTCTCAGAAATTTCTTGAGAGGGTGGAAGAGGGTGGAATGGCACCTGTATGCACATACAGGTATGGTTACATTGGCCAGTCAAATATTAACCTCTGACAGAAGCGGTGTATTTGGAAACAAAATAACAGGAAGGAGGGCAGATTGGAGAGTGTGTTCACGGTGAGACCCGTGGGTACATGCTTACGTCCGAAGTCCCAGATTGACAATCCTCTAAATAACTCTGGGATCTCCTCCCTGCTCAGTTCTGCAGTGGCTAATGTCAATAGTTTCACCTCCTGTGGGAGAAACAAATAATTTGCTGATTGAATGAAGATTATGTGAACACACCCAGCTTCACTTAAATAGGGTTCTGAATATTAGTGTTCACATACATTTCAGATAACTCCCCTTTTGATCTTGAAACGATAAGCCTGTCTTCTAAACAGCTGAAGATTTTACATCTTAGAAGTGGTTAATGCGTTTGACATCTGGCAGTGGTGGAATTGTTGGGCCTGTCATACTGATTATGTAGAGTAGTAAATGATAATGAGTATGTTTCCAGTTACTGTATGTTGGGCCCTAAACCTTCACATGCATCAGCTCTTTAATCTTCATCAAAGCCCTTAAGGGAGATACTATTTTCATAGTCCCATGGAGCAGAGGACTCTGAGGGTCACTGAGTTCAGTGACTCCTAGACATTGTACAGTCAGCAGGGTGGAGTCAGGAGATAGCCAGTTCTTAGCCAGTGGGCACAGCCAGACCTTCTGCATTGGTTTTCTGAGTTTCATGTCAGATAAGAGGTTTTATTTTCACTGTCGAATGGTCAAGAAAAGTTCATATATGAGAACTTCATTGAAGGCTCTGTTCTCCACACAAGAATACCCTTGGGGCAGTGGCTGAACACACAGGTCAACAACAGTTGAACCCCTGCTCTGTGCCAGTCTTCACAAAATCTCTGTAGGTGTGCCTCATCAGACATGTGAGGGTTCTGTGGCATCACCGTGAGATATGTTAAAATTCTCAGGGGGGTGGACTCTCCCTGCATCTCATAGAAGTCAGGGTCAGGGAACACAGGGAGTTCACTAAAAAGTTCTCAGGATAAGGCTTTGTTTTGGTTTCCACTTTCAACTCTGCACTTAGCCTGAACCTTAGTAGAGTGTGAGACAGACAACCAAATCAAAGGAAATAATCAGGACTCAAACTCCAAGCCAGCTTGCTTCTGTCCCCTTTCTGTGGTGCATCCTGGTGCCATGTTCTCTGTCCAGAGGACAGTGCTTCTGGCCATAGGGTGGTACATGGTGTGAAATGGAAGAAGTTTCCCAGGGTGGGTTAAGGGAACTGTGGACTTTGCGTCTCAAAGCATAAATTATTGGGAACCTTGACTTTGCTAGAGGGAAGGTCTGAGCTTTCTACCCCTGCCTGCCTTGGGCACTTGCTTTCATGATGGAGGAGACTTGTGGGCTGTGAAATCGGACCCCAGGTAACTTCTGTTTGCTCTTCTGTTCTCTGTGGACATTTGTCCTTGCAGTCAGTTTACATGACAGCTAGGACACTACTTGTGGACTTGTCTTTTCTTTAAAGACCTCTAAATTACATCCTTGCAAAAGATTTTTGCATGTCTGTTTTAAAATTTTTAGTACTGGCTATAGAGCACAGTTCATGTTTGTATAAGTTCAGTGAGTTTAGTAATGGCCTCTTGGAATTTTTTAGCTTTGAAGCTGGGCACTGAGATGCTGAGCTGGAGTGGGGACCTGCAGCCCCTCGATCAGCGACCTGCTCTCACCTGGATTCTCTTGGTCAGACCATCTGGCTGCCTAGACAGACGGAGCCTGAGCAAGCCCCTTACAGGTAAGGTCTGTTAGGTTTTCACCAGTAGGTAGTGCCTTTCCCAGCAGGAGACCCATTTGTTAAGTACTGATTAAGGCAAGATCAATACATGCTTGCCCATATAGGCAGAGGCGTAACAGTAGAGCCTTTACACCTGCTTCTGCAGGGAGTCCCCACCTGCTCTGGAGCCCACGCACCCTCCCCACCTTCAGTCACTGAGTTGAGGTACATGGGGATAAAGACTGAGGCTGGCTGTGGTCTGGGTTTTGCATGCCACTCTACATGTGGGCGGTCTCCCTTTGTTTTCTGTAAAGTGTGGTGACAGTGCCTGCCTCCTGCGTTACTCAGAATAGCATAGTGAGTCCTCAAAAGGTGACTGCTCTTATTTTGAGAGATGGGCTAGAACAGAGTTGGGGTGGCAGGTCTTGTCCTGGGCTTTGCTTTCTAATGTGTATATCAGTCTGTCCACTGGAGCACGCACTGAGACTGGGGTACATAAAGGTAAAAGAAGTCCAGGGCAGATGTTGGTGTTTCCTCTTTCAGCATTTCATCTAAAGTGAACCTCACTAGGAATGGCCTTTCCCTCGTCCTAGTTGGCCCTCAGTGTGAGAATCTTAGCAGGTTGTCTGCAGACATAGCCCTGCGTGGCCTTCCAGTAGATGTGCTGCTGAGCCATTGCCCCTAGAGAGGAAGATGGGCCCTGGAGAATGTTTAGTTTAGTTTGGCTGTGTACCATAACAGCATGGAATAGCCGACTAGAGACCAGAAGCCTGAGATCATGGTGTCGGTGTCAGCCGGGCTGTTTCTTCTGAGGCCACTTTCTTTGGTGTCTGGATGCTGTCCTTTTCCCGTGTTCTCAGATAATTCTGCCTGTGTCCCCATCTCCTATTCTCAAAATGACACCAGTTGAATGATTATGGCCTGCCTCAATGCCTCATTATAACTTACTCATCTCTTCTAATTACCCTCTCTCTATGTGCTCACATTCTGAGGTCCTGGGGGTCAGGACTTTTGCATGGGAATGCTTGAATTTACTCCTAGTACAACACACACCCAGGACAACAAATTGAAGCCTCTGAGGGTTTGGGATACTCCATCCTTGTAATGTAGGTGCAGGGCTCTCTCATCTTGCAGCCTCCTTTCCTGTTGCTTCTTAATCTTTCATTCTCGGCTTTTCCTTAACTATCTACAATGTACAACAGTTAGGTTCTCATCTTTGTCTTAAGTACATTCAGCTCATGTTTCCCAGGAGTCAGCTTTATTGAGATGCTAAATAACAGTTTACATAGCCTGTTACATACTGAGTCAAACAGTGCACATGTGGATGTTTTCGGGTTCCTTTGTAAATAGTTAACATTAAAGTTTTTTTTTTTTTAAAGATTTATTTATTTGTGCATACATAACTGGGTACAGATCAGAGGTGCAGGGGCGGTGAGAGGATTCACCAGAGACAGAGTAGGGAGCATAACAGGCAGATTGACGAGTACACTGCTGAGGGGAGCAGCGGGAGGGTCAGGAGAGGTCTGCCGCGCCATGTGGTCACTTCAGGGGCAGGCAGGGTTTGAACTCATGCTGAAGTGGCTTTAGCTTCTTAGTGTTGTGCTTTATCCCGCTGCGTCACCACGGAGGGCCTGAAGTTTTGTTTTTTTTTTTACCTTTGGAATCTGTTTCCTTTCCAGAGAAAATGTTCCCATTAGGAGTAGCTGCAACTTCTCTTTCTGCTGCTCTAGTCTTTCTTAGCAAGGCTCACTTCTCTTGAATAGTGGCCATCTCAGAGTCTCATTACCCTCCGGGACACAGACCCTGCAGTCAAGACAGATTGTTTTTTGGCAAACTGGGCACACTATACTCTCTCACAGCTGAGATGAAGGAAGGTGACCAAATCTTGACTTTTCCCAGAAACTGAGAAAAGAAGTCTCATAAGAGAAGGAATACTAGTTAAAATAAACTCTTCATGGCAGATTATAGCCCAGCCCTTCAGTGTTTGAGACCAGGGCACAAGGGCCTGTTGGAAAGGTGCTTCATCTCTCTGCTTTTTCTGCTCAGTATGGATAGCATCATGTCCAAAACATCAGGTAGGTGTGCTGGTAGGTGTGCTTACTGGAGGAGGGTGCCTAGCATGGAGGTCTGGGCTCCTGCGAATACCTTTCCCACTGTCAGTTTCAGTGTGCATCCTCCCCAAGGCAGTGCTGACATTGTTGGGCACTGGTGGGACTCATGTCATCCTTGATAAGGCCATGTGTGAAAGAGTAAGTTTGCCCCAGTTAGATTCTGCCAACTTGAACATCTTATATATTGATTGAAACTCTTAGTAGATTCGTCTTACAAGCCCTTTTTCCTATTCACTGCAAGTTCCTTGCGGGCCCCATTGTAGGGGTTTACTTGGGACAGGGCATTGCAATGCCAACCTTGTACCCACTGCAGCAGCCCCTCTGTGGGCTCAGCCCTTGGTGATACACTCTTCCCCTGTGACTATGAGAGACCCACTTGCTTCCTAGTTGTGTGGTTTGGTTGGGCTTTATTTACAGTAGGAGGATACCTCTCTCATTGACCCGCTCACCCCTGAGATGTAATCAGAGGGGTAGGTGTTATTCTTGCAGCTTCTTTAACTTACTTGACCAGAAAGAGTTTGTGGGTGGAAACCATACACTGCTCAGTTGCATTGACCAGCTATTGTTTTCCAGTTACAGAAGTTGAAATCTGTGTATTCTTGGACTCTTAAGAAAGGTCTGAATTCTGCCTTCCTCTCTCCCAGTTTGGAACATCATGATTGTGCATGCAACCATTTCAGTCCTTATAGTCAGCTTGCCATGGATAGGTCTTTAAGAAGCTTTTATATGCTTTGGTGCTACATCTTTCCTTCCTCAGCATCCTCTTTTTAGTTTATGTAACAGGACGCTCCCTTGATTCTTGTATTTATTCCTTCCCCTTCTGTTTACTTCCCTCTGTCATTTCCCCCTATTCACTGTCTCTGCTGTCTACGCAATGCTAAATGCATCGTTACATTCCTTCGATAGACTTTCTGAATCCCCCTGTAGAGTACCATATAGCTTTGCTTTCAGCACATTTTGGGAACTTAACCTAGCACGTCCTGGGGCCACTCAACTTCTGTTGAGTAAGGGATTGGGAGAAGTGTGCAAAATTAGGTACTTGCTTGTCCTACTGAAACCACAGTGAATGGGAACAATTTCTCTTTTGTGTACAGCTGGAGTAGAGTGGATATTATTTAAGGTTTTAGTTTTATTTAGGACACACTTTCTGTACTCCCTTGGTGGAAGTGTAAGGCTTAGGGGACAGGCTTTCCTGGATTTTTCTTGTCTGAGCCTCTCAGATGGTGGCTCTGGGATAGAGACATCCAGACTGCCCTGTCTGGATTGATGGGAGGGAGTTGAGAGAAACCAGGGATCTCATGGGCATGTTCTTTAGTCCCAAAGACCCAAGAAACTCTTCTCTTCTTCCCATCTCTCAGTCTGCTCTGCTAATTTTGTGTCCAGGGTTTGAGCAGTAAGAGGGAGAGCTGAGAAAATATATCTAGATAGTCCTGGCTGGAATTGGAACTGCTCACTTGGGTTTTGAGGCTTTCTAGTCTCAAAATCTTTTACTTCCTGAGGTGGTTGAGCTTTAGGAGAAGGACTGGAGATCATTTACTTCCTAATGAGGTTTAGTCAAAAGATGAAAATAACTGTCAGAATTCTAGCACCTGTTAGAAGCTCAATGTTTGTGAAGTAAGCTAGACAATTTAAAAATCTTCAGAACTTAATTTAATTGGAAGACTTATGACTCAGTAATCTTAAAATTGCTGATAACTTATCAGCCTCCTGTTTCTCTTCCTCAGGTCCATTTGTTTGCAATTATTCTCTAATTCAAAAGTAAAACCATCTATTTTTTGCTATTCTTGCTATCTGTTAAGAGTTAAGAGATGATTTGATCATCTCAGGAAGTCTTGGTCCATTGATTTTGGTGACTGTTGATATAGCCAGGAGATAGATGTTTCTTAAGAGAACTGAAATCATAAAGTAATATTAACAACTTTGGGGATCAAGTAACAGACATTTCTTGAAGTTTAGTGTTTATAAGCAGTGATTATTTTCAAAGTTGAATTTAGACAAACTGCACTCCAGGCAAATGCAGTTAGTATGTTGAGTCTCCCTGGTGGTGGAAAGATTAAATCTCAGTGCTATCACCTCTAAGGCCTGAGTTTGATCCCCGGCCAGGGAGGTGACCCACATGGCACAGCACACCTCTCCTGTCTCTCCCACTGGTCCCCTCAGCAGTTTATTTCAGTTGATCTGCCTGTTCTGCTCCCAAATCTGTCTCTGTGAGTCCTCTTACCTCCCACATCTTTGGCTTACACCCCACTTCTTCTGTGCATAAATAAATGAATCTTTTAAAAAATGTAGGTAGCTTGTTATTTAAAATAAGTTGTAAGAATCTCATCAGCAGCCTCACCTCAGGCGCAGCCTTGCTGTGATGATGCCCCCAGTGTCATGGAATGTGGTAGATTGATGGTTTTATCGTCCAGTACCCACAGATGGTAGGGTGGGCTGCAGGGAAGTGGAAACAATGCAGAGAAGGCATGCTGTATGGAAAGAGGGGTGAGAGATCAGATGATAGCAATACAAGGGCAAAGACAAAAGCTACTGGGTATTCAAATGTGTGAAGTGTTGTTGTGATTCTTGTTGTCAGTGGTTTAGCTCATTTAATCTTAACAACAGCTCTCTAAGTAGATATAATCTCTACTTACATGAAAGATGAGTATACCACTGCACAAAGAAGTTAGATACAACTTTCCTCATTACTTACTCATATTTTAAAAATACCTACTTGGAAAAAATTTACTTGTAACCCTCAAATCAATACCTGTGACAGTTTAGGGGTCCTTTATGGACATGAATTGAGTGGTAGAAAATTTTAGTTTATGAGGACTGTGTTCCTAGATGAGGCTTAATAAAGTGATCTTCTGCCTTCTTGTTTGAAATGTGTGTCCTTTTTGCTATTTGAGCCAATGTTTTTTACATTTTCATGCTTTTTGTAGGTGATTTTGCTGTTTGAATATCCCCAAAGCACATACAAGAAGGCTGTACTATGTCTTACAGAGAAACGGCGTATACTAGGTAAGCATCACTCGGGCATTACTTAACAGTGCTACTAACCCTGATTTCAGTGTTAAAAGAATCACCAACCAGTAGCCTTTAGGGTTCTTTATTGCTATCATCTGCAAATGGTAATAGTTTTATTTCTTTCTCAGTTTGGATTCCTTTTGTAGCTTTCTTTTGCTCAATTGCTCTGCCTTGGATTTTTAATGCTATGTTGAATAGTTGTGGTGAGAGTGGACATCTTAATCTTGTATTAGAACTTGTGGGAAGGTTTTTAGTTTTTACCCAGTGAGAATAATAACAGCCAAAATCACCTAAAATATTGATTGATGAAAGTGATAGGACTGGAAGTTCATAGGAACCTATTTTCCTTAGGTGTAGAGATTTAGCTTCTACTAATTCAGAGTTTGAGGTGACTTTCTAGAATGTAGTTACCACAGTGAGAATCTGCTGTGCTTGGACTTAGTCATTCCAAATCTCTTGATATTGCTTGTAATTATTTTTTGTTTAAAAAAAGCAGTTGAATTGAAGTGTGATTAAGGTATAATAAACTATACTGTTTAAAATGTATAATGCGATGGATTTTCACATATTTATATACCTGTGAAATCTTTGTCATGATCAAAATAATGAGGTATCCATCACCCAAAAGTTTCCTCACACCTCTTGCACTCTGGTTTGTGTCACTATCATCTGCATTTTCTGGAATGTATTGTAAAGGGAGATAATTATTATTGTCTGACTTATTTCCCAATAATACTAATTTTGGGCTGCATATATGCTGAAGTAAGTAGCCAGTGTAGTCCTTTTTATGACTTAGGTGTATTCTCTTGTATGGACAGTCACAGTGGGCATGCCCGTCTCCCCAGTGGGATATACGGGTTATTTTCCACTTTGCCATTTCCTAGGGCTGCTGTAGATTGCTTTCCTTATTGCATCTGTACTTGTTTTCAGACTTGTAGGAATTTGGCCTCCTTTCTTCTCTCCCTCCTGGATTCCATCTCTTTTCCCTGAGGTCTTATGCATCTGGCTAGGGGCATGGGTATGGATCTATCAGTCACTTGTCTTCTGATTAGAAGAGAACTGGGTTAGGATTGAAGATAGTTTGCAAGGCAAGTAGAGACAGCAGGTCAGACATGGTGACAAACAGTCCAGATCAGAACTCTGCATGTGTGATTTAGCACCCAGATATTTCTTGCTGAGTATGAACTGTCATGTTAGAGCCATACTGTTGTGGATACTTATTTTACTGATGTTTTAAAAAGGTAAAGATGATTTCTGGGAGAACAGCAGATGAGCTTTTCTTTTCTTCTGGATTAAAGCTTGGAGGGATCCATTCTCAGGTCAGCAGGGAATTACCTTGGGACCCTGGCGATGTGTACAAGCTGAATCAGGTGCCTGGAGTGTGATTCATCATCCAGTGTGTCTTCTGCCTTTGACCTCCTAGTGACGACCACCATTGGATTGGGGTGCAGGGATCGTTGCAATGTTAAAATGTCTTCTGGCATTGACAGTGGGCATAGCTTGACTTCACAGATCCTGGGGAATAGGTGTGGGGAATGTCAGCCTATTGATTTAATGAAATAATGATAATTACTTGCATATTTCTGCTGTGGGGTATTTAGGATCATAGCATACATACTGCTCTACTGCTGTATGTTTTGCTTCAATAGTGAGACAGTATTACTAAGGGAGTGGCAGAAGCAGGCTGTTGTAGTTTATCTTTGGTTGAAAGCATGGTTAACTTTTTTAGTTGCAGTCTCAGTTAAGGGGAGATAGAAGAACGTAATAACATGTGATGAGGTTTGTGATAAGAGGTAGGCCCTTTAATTGAAGGCCAGTTAATACACTTAATGCTTTAGAAATAACAGAACTGTATGTAGGCCTCAAGACAGGATGGAGGAGTGAAGACGGGGACATTTCAAAGGTACTTTTTTGTTTTCCTACTGTCAAGGTTTATTTTGAGGAATTATCTCATAGAAAATCAAGTAAATTCAGAGGGCCTGGAGTGTGCGTGATGGATATAGATGACTTCATTAATAGGTTATTACTCTCTTAGTTATTGCAATTTTTAGAACCAATGGGGCAAAATGTTGTTCTGTGAATGACAGGTTTTGTAAACTTGAGAAGAAAAATCTAGTGATTATTTATAGTGATTCTGACAATGTAGGACTAGCATGGCCAGAATAGATAGTTGTTTCTTGAAGATTTACTTTGTTATTCATACAGAACTGGGGTACAGGCCAGAGGTGCAGGGGCGATGAGAGGATTCAACAGAGACAGAGCGGGGAGCAGAACAGGCAGGTCAACGAAGTACACTGCTGAGGGGAGCAGTGGGCGGATCAGGAGACCATGTGGATCACCTCAGGGTGGGTGAGGATCGAACTCATGCTGAAGTGACTACCTTCTTAGTGCTGTGCTTAACGCGCTGCGCCACCAGGGAGGGCCCAGATTTTTTTTTTTAACAAATCAATTAAAAACCTCATTTTTGTAATTATATACTAATTACAATAAAAATTTTAATTTCATACAAAGTAAGATTAATTTGGGCCCTCCCTGGTGGCGCACCGGGTTAAAGCACAGCACTGAGAATCTAAAGACGCTTCCGCATGAGTTCGATCCCCGCCTGCCCTGGAGGTGACCACATGGCGAAGCAGACCTCTCCTGACCCGCCCGCTGCTCCCCTCAGCAGTGTACTTCCTCGATCTGCCTGTTCTGCTCCCCACTCTGTCTCTGGTGAATCCTCTCACCCTCCGCATCTCTGGCCTGTACCCCAGTTCTATATGAATAAATAAATAAATCTTTAAAAAAAAAAAGTAAGATTAATTTGTAAACATCCAGAACGTTGGCATTTATGTAATATTTAGCATCATCTATAGCGTAGAGTAGATTCTTTTCAACCTTTTTGAGATGAGAAAACAGAAGGTTATTTTAAATATATGTTTTAATTTAGTACATCTTCTGAAAGTAGAAGCTGCTTTTCCTCTTTTTGTTGGTGGGCACTTCCCTGTTTGTGAACCCAGAAATGTTCTATCGCCATGGTCAGAGAGACCATTTTTATGTTTTACTACAGCCAGGCTGTATTCCCAGGCCCTGGTCCCTGAGGCCTTGATCCTGGCTGCGACATTTATTGGTGTTGCTGAGGGCCTGGTGCTTCCTTATGTGCACCACTGCGTCCTGTTCTATTCAGGAGGAGGAAGAAAGATGCTTGTGGATCAGTGAGGAGCGTGGCCTATCAGGAATGGCCCACCACACACTCATTCCTTATTTTTGGTACTCTGGGCATTTTGTGCCACCTCCCAAACTCGGGCACTGTGGCTGTGCCCGATGTGTCCTGGATGTGACTACAGAGGATTTTGTGTTCTCTCCTCTCTGTTTTTGTTATTCCCCAAGTCCCTCTAGTTTCAAATTTTTTTCCCAGTGGTTTTCAAAACAGTTTTCCCAAATTTAACTTCAAGTTCATGAAGTCCTCCCTTATTGCTGCAGCTCTTGTGATGTCCATCCACACAACTCTCAGCCCAGTGAGGTAATTCAGTTAGTCATACTTCTTTGTATGCTTCAGATCTGTGATCATCTTTCAAGGGGTGATTTTATATTTGGCTTTGCCTGAGCCTTTGTTTGGTTTCACTCTATGCCACATACAAATGATACCGTCTGGTATTTCTCATTCTCCTTCTGCTTATTTTCCATAACATAATCCCTTCTTATTCCAACCATGTTGCAGCAAATGGCATGAGTTTATCATTAAGTCCTTTTTTGTTTTATTGGCTTGTATATTTGGTTTTGTTTTAAAATATCATGCTATTTTAATTACTATGATTTTATTGTATAGCTTCAAGTTTGGAAAGGTACTAAACCATTTCCCCTCCCCCACACCCCCTACCCCTTTTTGCGTGAGGAGAGCTTTGGCTATCCGGGGTCATTTTTTGTGTGTGTGTGTGGTTACAGGAATTTCAGTAACATGTGTTTGATTTCTTTGAAGAATGCCATTGGGATTATATTGAATTTGTAAGTTTCTTTGGATAAAATGGTCATTTTGACAAAATATTCTACTAATATATGGACAAGGGAAAAGGCATGTATTTTTGTCTTTTTTTTAACACTGCCTTGTAGTTTTCCTTTTATAGGACCTTCACCTCCTTTGTGTGCTTATTCTTAGCTATTCAACTGTATTGGGTTGTTAGAATAAGTCATGACTTTTTTTTTTTTTTTTAAAGATCTATTTATTTGTGCATGCAGAACTGGGGTACAGGCCAGAGCTCATGGGCAGTGAGAGGCTTCACCAGAGACAGAGTGGGAAACAGAACAGGCAGATCGAGGAAGTACACTGCTGAGGGGAGCAGCGGGCGGGTCAGGAGAGGTCTGCCACGCCATGTGGTTACCTCCTGGGACAGGCGGGAATCGAACTCATGCCGAAGCAGCTTTAGATTCTCAGTGCTGTGCTTTAACCCGCTGCGCCACCAGGGAGGGCCAGTCATGACTTTGCAGCTTTAGATTCTCAGTGCTGTGCTTTAACCCGCTGCGCCACCAGGGAGGGCCAGTCATGACTTTTTTTTTATGATGCAAAAATGCACCATGACTTTTCTGACAACCCAATAAATGGGATGGAATTATTAATGACTTCCTCTTCTAGCCCATTGTTTACATACAGGAAGGCAACTTATTTTTGTGTGTTGATTTTTTATCCTACCACTTTTCTGAATGGTTTTAATGACTTCTATCACATCTTTCAGATTTGCTAGGTATATTACCATATCATCTGCAAATAATGATAGTTTTACTTTTTTCCCAATTTGCATTCCTCTCATTGCTTTCTTTTGCTCTAAGACTCCTAGTACTGTGTTGAAGAGTAGTCAGAGTGGACATCCTTGTCTTGTGCTGGATCTTAGTGGGGAGGTTTTCAGTTTTTCACAGTTGAGAATAGCTGTATGTTTGTCATAGACAGTTTGTAGTAAGTGAAGATAATATTCCATTTATACCCAGTGTGTAAAGTTTGTCATAAATGGATGCTTAACTTT